TGCAGGAGCAGAACATCCGTTTGATGCAGCAGTTGCGGGAGAAGGACGATGCAAACTTCAAGCTAATGTCAGAGCGAATCAAGTCCAATCAGATCCATAAGTTGCTTAAAGAGGAAAAGGAGGAGTTGGCTGACCAGGTGTTGACACTGAAGACGCAGGTAAGGGCTGAATGGAGTTCTTTGTTCTGTTGAGGTAGGGAGCTTCTTGCAGTAAGACGCCCACAGAACTGATCGTCAAGCTTCTTTTCTTTGTGTGATAGAAATGCTGCACGTTAAAATGTGTGCTAGAGTCTCACCTGATGTTTTCTTCTGACCTGGTTGCTTCTGATGTTGGTGTGAGAGTTTGTGAGTGAGAGGCCAGAAGTGGATGTGTGATTTTATTTTTTACCTGTTGGGATTGTTTGACTCTACTTTGTGGATTAATTTCAAGAAAGAGTCTAATTCAGAACCTCTAGCTGTTCTGAAAGAAATGGAGTTAAATTTGGTTTGAGTCAAGTGCTTATATTCTGGTTAGAGTGGCCATGTTTTGAGGATTAGTATAGCTACAGAAGATGAATATCCTTAAATATAATCTATTCTTGGCAATTTAGGTTCCCAAACTCTGAATAATCGTAAATTATTTTATATGAAAAGTTGAAGCCTTCCGTAATCATAATCTTGGATATATTTTGAAAAGTTCATGGGAAAAGTCAATTTTTGAGGATATGTGGGTAAACAACATAACTAAATTTATTTTCCTACCTGCTTACATTAAAATATGATTTTTCTCCTCCACAGGTGGATGCCCAGTTACAGGTGGTAAGGAAACTGGAAGAGAAGGAGCACCTGCTTCAGAGTAATATTGGCACCGGGGAGAAGGAGCTAGGCCTTAGGACTCAGGCCTTGGAGATGAATAAGCGTAAGGTATGCTGGCCTCTGTAACCTGCCATGACGGGTGGGCTCCAGGGACAAGTGAGCAGAAGCTGCCTGGAGTGTTTAAGTTCACTCTGGATGTCATTTCCCTCCCTGGAAGAAGGAAGGATAAGATGATGTTTCTGCATTCCATGTAGGCCATGGAGGCAGCCCAGCTTGCAGACGACCTCAAGGCACAGCTAGAGCTGGCTCAGAAGAAGCTGCATGACTTTCAGGATGAAATCGTGGAGAACAGTGTCACCAAAGAAAAGGACTTGTTCAATTTCAAACGAGCACAGGCAAGAGCAGTTGTCTTTGATTGTATTTACCTTTTCAGTGCTTTCTGAGGGCTGCGGTGAGTGGTGTACACCATGCACTGCTAGGCTGAAGGGCCTGTGGGAAGGGACTGGCATTGTCTGCTTCATGCCATGTTCCTTAGTTGTGAAACAAATAGCTGCGGAATCTGTAAAGTGGTGAACTGTTAAGTAGGAATACAATTTCAGTTGAAGGTTAAAATCACACTGCTGTTCTTCTTCTCTTTTTTCTCATGCCAGCTATTTCTTATGATGGCTTCTGTCCTTTTCCATAGGTCTGTAAGTGATTCAATCCAGATCTACCCTCACCATAAAATCAGTTACTTACCACAAACTGAGGTGGCCTGCTCTCTGGAGTTCAGGTTGTGTTCTCACCTGACCTAGATTGCTCTCATTGGTACAGTTCTAAGTTGGGGATATGATTAGGGTTGCCTGTTCTGAAACAAAAGTATCTTGTAAACAGGCATTTACAGGTTCCTATGTTCCTAAAGATAATTGGACATGAAAGGACAGGAAGTTCTTTGTTTCTGCAATAGAAAGGTCAAGTTGGAGAAATGATTTCTGTCAAAAAATGGCAGGTCTGGGAAATATGTCTACTGTGTTTACTGTCTTGCTGCAGGAGGACATATCTAGGCTTCGAAGGAAGCTGGAGACCACCAAGAAACCAGACAATGTGCCCAAGTGTGATGAGATTCTGATGGAGGAGATAAAGGACTACAAGGTTAGAAAAACTGACTGGGTGGTATCTGTGTTTGTCAGGGCCTGAACTGGCCTACTAATGTACAGAGATAGTAGATACTGACTTTAAGCAAAGGCAGCAGTGGTCTACTGGAGCACTGAGAGAGGAGTCACTGACCTTCATACAAAGGCAAGCAGAGAGTGGTTTATTTTTTTAGGGGAAAGTGATGCTCTTTTCTTAGAGCTCAGCAGTCTTGTTGATTTGCTTATCTATCATAGGCATTTGAGTCATAAGCTTTATGGTTCCTCAGACTCTGATTTTCATTTTTAGGCACGGCTGACCTGCCCCTGCTGTAACATGCGGAAAAAGGATGCAGTGCTGACCAAGTGTTTCCATGTTTTCTGCTTTGAGTGCGTGAAGACTCGCTATGACACCCGCCAGCGCAAGTGTCCCAAATGTAATGCTGCTTTTGGTGCCAATGATTTCCATCGCATCTACATTGGCTGATCACAGTCAAGACAGGAGCTGGCTAGGCAAGCACTTACTCATTAATCACCAGGCCTCTACCTCTTCTCGCCTTGACAGTTGGCCAACTCCCTTGCTCCTCAGACTTGTCCACACTCTGCTCTCCAGTACCTGGAGAAAGAACATTAGAGAAAAAGACCTCCAGTCTTGGGTTTTAGAATGAACTAGACGCCACTGTTGTTTGTCTTCCCATCAGCCTTGTTTGTGTACGCTCAGATTTTTCAGTGTTTTCCTCTTGGGCCTCTCCTATTAACTTGGATTGCCCATTCCTCCTGAAGAAGTCAGGTTGATAGTTTTGACGTTGAGGAGAGAATACAGGTAGAGTGAACGTATGCTGTTATGCAGGAGAGAGCTTTTAGAAATAAGCTTTCTTTGGGCCCAGACTTGTTCATTTGGGTAGTAAACCTTTTCTTAACTTAGGTTATAAAATGGTATAATTGTGATAGTCTCCTGGAAAGTTTGAAGCCTTAATGAAATTATATCCAGGATAATTCAATCCATTTCCCACTTCTACCAAAGTGACTTCTAGGGTCACTTGGATTTCTTGCTAAGGTTATTTATGTTTTAAGAATTCAGATACTTAATAGTTTTTTAATTTCTTAAGGCCATAATAATATCAAACATGACAGCCCCTATGTTTTTTACTGAAATCAGATTTAGAACTGAAGAAGCATCTGGAATGAGATTGTGAAGAGATCTGGGTAGTCTGGGAATGCAGGGAGGTGTTGGTGAGCTATGAATTACTCTCATCTGTCTCTCCAGAGGGATTGCATGATCCCTGTTTTCCAGAAGATTCTCAGTAATGTTTCTGTAGGATTTTAATACATTCTACATACTTCAATTAAAGCAGGATTCAATTTGTTTTTGTGTTTGTGGTTTTTTTGTTGTTGTTATGAATAGTTGATTTTATTATACCTGCTATTCCAAAACTAAAATTTTAAGATAGAGTCTCCTGCAGTGTAACCCAGGCTGGCTTCAAATCACTACATTACCCTTTTCTCAGCCTTGCTGGAGCTAAGATTGGGGATGTGTGCCACCATGCCCCAGTGAAATGGATTCTTTTGAACAGAATTAATAAAATTAATAGAGTGGCTGTGTTGCCAATATTTAGTTTTTTGATCAATTGAGGTAGTTTTCTCCCTTCCCAGTTGTTTTGAGTCCATACTGACTACCTAAAAGAAAGAGTATTATTTAATCTTCAGCACAGTGGCTGTGCCTTAATCTACTGCTATTTCAGCCAGCTGTTGTGACTCCACAGTTACCAGTGGCATGGCTGCTCAGGCCACTGTCTGGCGGGAATTCTGTTCCCACAGGCACCTGCTCTGTCGCTGCTGCTAAAGATAGCTTTAACTAAATATCATTCTATTTATAAATAAGACTCAAGATTCAAAGTCTAGTATGGGAGCCCGTTCTTGGGGTTCCTCGTGGCTTTACCCAGTAGGTCCGCATAGAGGATGATTGGGACCACGGGCCTGAGTGCAGGTGTCTGAGATGGTCTGCACTTGGCTGTGCTGAGGGGAGGAGGTCTTTTGCTCCACCCCTTGGTGTCTCTATAAAAACCCTGGGGCAGAGACAGTCAGGGCCTGTTGGAATAGGTTCCAGGCCCTTTCCAGGCTATCCTTTATTTTCTGTCTGTTTCTCTCCGCAATATTCTCCGCAATAAATCCTTCTATTTAATATTTCCTGCTGCTTGCACTCAAGAAAACTCTGGGGAGCTGTGGGGTTGGTGGGTAAATGCCTCATAGTCTAGGGTGAAAACCTGCTACCTCAGAGAGGCTGAGTAGCAACTAGCTAACCTCTCCTTGTTGGCGTCTCCCAAAAGGGCCCATCCTTCCACTCAGCAAAAAACAAAAGATGTACCACTCAAAACCCCTCCCTACTGCTTCTGGTGCATCTTTCTATCTCTTTAGATGCCCTCTGATGCTCTATGATTACTTCCTGTCAACTAGTTGTTAACACAGCCTCCTGACCCAAGGTTAATTTTATTTAATTAGTACAAATGCTAACTCGGGGTTCACGGTGTGATTGAATGTCCTCCAACAGGAGAAACTACTTAGGTCTCCAGTTCACTATGGAGATAAGTAGTTTCCCTGGTGGGCTTTGGGTGAGAACTTTGAGTTTTTTAGAAATTAGCAGAGCAGAAGTTTTCTCTGCCTGATAAAGGGTTTATATAAAGTGGATCCCTTCTGATCAGTACCTGGCCTAGATAATGCTCAAGGGCATGTTCCCTGTCTTTCCTCACCAGCTGTCATCATTGGGCCTTGTGATGAATCCCACCATTATGTGATAGGGATTTAAAAATGGAATCTGCTTGTATAGGATTCACTTGGTTATCAAGAGAGGAAACTGGACCATTAATTCTGCCAAGCGTATATACATGCATGTTTATGAGCACACAGCTTGTTAGGATTAGGCCCTGCTCCTAGACATGACTGTTGCATTTACTACCAGGACATGCTCCCCTTGCTGCTGGCACTTACAGGGCAAGCTTGAGTATGAGGAACTAACTGGACTACTTGGGCAGTGGGTGGTTTATAATATTAGCTCTTCATATCAATTGGCTTAGAGGTGCAGCTGCTTGGTACCAGGAGGGCATTGGCCTGTGGGGTGAAGTAGAGGGAAGCATTCATTCCATAGAATGCTGGGTTAAGAAGATGCTACTCTAAGTGAGAAATTGAGGTCCAGGCAACACAAGGTGAGTTCTCAGGGTCATTTTTAGGAAATGTTCAAAAATGGTGACTTTTTCCCCCCACAGACGTTCTTTCCCTGAATAGGAGGTTGTGAATAGATTTTAGGAATACATCTGGAATTTCATGTCACATTTTGTCTTGGTTTTAAGTACATGACTTAACAGCTCTTCAGATCCTCAGAAGAATTTCAAAATTTGACATTCCTCTAAAGTTAGAAATAACAGCTCTAGATCCATAGAAAAATTACAAGGTAATTTCTTTATGGCAAAGTTTCTCAATTTAAAGTAGAAAATGTTAGATATTGTGGAGAGTTCTCTCTCCTTCCCTCTTGTCTCCTCCCTTCTCTCTCTTTTCCTTCCCCCTGTTTTCTATTAGAAACATTTTAGTGATGTTGACCAAAATCAGGTGTGCTCAATCAAAGGCATAGATATGGTTTATCTCTACTTACAGGGGTCCTTTTCAAAGGTAATGAGCTGCTTCTGTTAGCTTTTATATTATTTATGAATTTCTATTGGATAATTTTTTTTTCTTCTCTGTCCAGATCACTAGTTATCCCTGTCCTCCCAGGACAGAGAAATGCTGTACTTACAGAATAATGTGCATACCATTGGAGTGATACATGATTTGATAGTGTCAAGACAATAAAGTCATTATTTGTCCTCCAGACCTACTGGGATGGTGATGTTTATTGTTTCTAGAAGTGATATATTAGTCTCATTCCCATTGTCATTTGTTGGTTGGAATGCCTTTACATTTTGTTTTCAAGATTTTTTTGTGGGGTGTTTTGTTTATTTTTCCTGAGGCTAACCAGTTGATTGATAAAGTCTTAGTGGGGCTAAAGAAGTACTTTGACTTGTGTAGTGGTATGAATGAGAATGACCCTCATAGAGTCATATATTTGAGTTCCCAGTTGGTTGAATTGTTTGGGAAAGATTAGGAGGTATGTGACCTTGCTGGGGGAGGAAGATCACTTGGGGTGAATTTTGAAGTTTTAAATGCCTGCGCCATTTCTAGTTAGCTCTCTGCCATGCTTGTGGATTGAGAAGTGGGCTCTCAGCCCCTGTTCCAGTGCCCTGTTTGCTCGCTGCCATGCTCACTCTGATAGTAATGGGCTCTAGCCCTCTTGAACCACGAGCCCCAAGTTAAATGCTTTTTTTTTGGAAAGTTGCCTTGATCCTGTTGTTTTATTACAGCAATAGAAAAGTAACTAAGGCAACTAATTACTGTCATTAAAGTCATGATTGACTTGTGTAAAGTAGGTGGGAACCAAATAAAAAATTGTTGGTTTGTGTGTATGTTGGATTGAATTTACACAGTGAGAAATCCTTGGCTTGGAAAAAATATTTAGTTCTTAAATGTTAGGAATACTAATTGTCCCATGATAAATAAAGTTTAGCTTACCTTCCAAGGATTTCTGCTCAACTTTGGTCCCTTCCTGACATAAGCTGTTAATGTCTTATAACCTGTTTCACAATGAGATTTGGATTTGGAAAGGGTAGTGTTTTAACAACTTAATCCCCAGCATGTAGCAGAGGCACATCGTAGTGCTCAGTAAAGGTGTCGGAATAATTCAGCTCTCTTGCTTCTGCCAGCTTTTTTTTGTCCAGGTATAGAAACAAGAAGTTTCTCTTATTGTACATGGGTGTGAACTCAAGCCTCATTTCTCTCTCTTTCAAAGTGCTTTTCTTTATATACTGAAGTAAACTCTTTAGATTTCAAATATTTATGATGGAAAGTTGAATTTATGACACGCATGTGCAGCAGGTGTCATCTTTGCTGCTGTAGGACTTGATGTACATTTAAAAATTTGTCTTGTGGGTAAATATGTGTATGATGAGTGTGTGTGTGTGAGAGACACTACATGTGTGTGGAGATTAGAGGACAGTTGCCTTCTACTTTGTTTGAGACAGGTCTCTTGTTTTCCCATGTGTTTGCAAGGCTACCTGGCATATTAGCTTCCAGAGAGTCTCCTGTTTCTGCTTTCCATCTTGCTGTAAGAGCACTGGGATTACAGATAGCTCCTACCACACCCGGCATTTACATGGCTTCTGGGGATTTGAACTCAGATTCTCATGCATGCACCACAGTTACTTTTCCCACTAAGTCATCTCCCTGGCCCTGATGTGCATTCCTTTATCAAAATACATACCACATTGTGTTGCTAGATTGCATATCTCATATGCAACTCCATTGACCCCTGTGGGTCTCTGAGTTCAGAATCTCCTGTTCCCTTGCTGTCTTCATCAGCTTGTCCTATACCTGGACCCCCAGAACAAATATATGAATGATGCAAAACATCTTGGGGAGGTTGGCAGTTTTATTAGGTTATAGTAAGATCCTATTTTTATGATATTTGACTTGGTGATATTTCAAAAGAATGTATGTAGAGAATATGTCAGGCTAGAAGATTCATGAAGGCAAGTTTGCAAGCTGCTGAAATTGCTTGGATTGTCGGAAACTGCCTGCATGTCTGTAGGGCTGCTGAGTGATAGATAGGAAGCTGTTTGTGCCCGTGCTTGGCAGGACTTGGAGAGCAGAACAAATGCAGATATACTATTTTTGTGAGGCTCCAGTGGCTCCAGTTGAGTCTGGTGAACCAGTGCAAGGGCAGTTGTCTTTCCAACTTCCTCCTGGAGGTCAAGCCAAGGCTTGGGCCAGAGTAAGACAGGTTAGGGCCATTGGAGGAGGGAGAGGCAGGCTCTGGCCACGATGCTAACAGTACTGTATTGTGGTTGTGCTGTTTGCACACTAAGCTCTGCCACTCTTGCTAGCTGTGTGACCTTGGGCTGATCACAAATCTCTCTGACTTACTTTTTTCTACCTGTAAACTAGTAGTGTTTGACTGTTCTAGATTATATCTGAAGTATTTAGTCTCAGATGGTTGTAATTTAATCACATGATTAAATGAGCCCATGTCTTATAGTAAATGCCCATAAATGTTGGCTATTATAGTATGTTTATAAGTCCTGGAAAGATCAAATTGAGAGAGGGTCCCCCAAGGCTAAGACCATACCTGCCCTTTCCACTGTTGTGTTTTAGCCATTGATGTGTAAATGGGAACTGTCTAGGTCACGCTTGTTGCATTACTAAAGGAAGATGATTAGGGCAGTTTTTAGAGACCAGTGAAGAGTGGTTTTGTTTTTGTTTTTTCTTATAATGTCTTTCTCATATA